GCATATAAAATATTCATATTTTAAAATAGAATTATTCAATATTTTCACATTGATTTATTAATAAAAAGGAAAAGAGACGTTTAATTTCTCTAACCAAGAAATCCTAAATAATCATCAACTAAATTTTACTTTTGTTCCATACTTTAGTAGAATTTAATAAAACGTCAAAAATTTCACCTCATACTGGGTTAAGGCAGTGGTTGTAGTTTCCAAAACCTTTATTAAGTTCAGAGAGAAGGCTGACAAGGATTAAGATTATAATTAGTGATTCAAACCAGTTAATAGACATATTTAATGTACATAAAAGCTACTTCCTGAGTCATCAGTCCAAAATAGAAGATGGGTAGAAATTATTTTAATCTGAATTTTCCTTCGTGTTTCAGTAATTCTAGAATTTTGGGAGAATCTCACCTTATTGTTTACCATTTCATCAGGGATGAATAGTCCCCCTTTGGAGAAGAAAAGGATCCAAATAAAGAGTAAACAAAACTGGATTGGACATGGTGACACATAGGGTCTGTGTCCAGCCTTTGGTAAAGACCAGCTATTCATTACTCACGAATAGTTTTCTTAACTATAAAATAAGTGCATTGGCTCTTTGTAGCTTTAAAGTTTTCTGACCTTATGAATCAGCCCTTTTTTGTTTCTTTTCTGCTGTTCGTGCCAAACCTTTTGGAGGAGGAAGAGTGAATGTGCCTCATCATATTCTCTACCGGCAGCTGTTGTATGAACATACGGCAAGTGTCAACACAGGGCGTCTTCATTCAGTGCCAACCAGCTGGGTTAGCACACATGGCAGCTGAAGATCTCACCCTTTTTCTACCCCTCTCAAGAATTTCATTTGATAAGATTTATGATAACCATAGAAATAGGTCCTTGATCAGTCAGGTCTAGTGAATAAAAGTTTATACTGTGTAAATACAAAAATGGCTGACTCCACTAACTGCATTGCTCTTAGAATCTCCCGGAAGGAAGACGTGAGCTAATAGTATTTCTGGTAAGATGTAAGTTCTGTAGCATGTCGGAGAAATTGTGTTCTATTCAGTAAAAATAGTTTGGTTAGCAATGTTATAATAACCAAAGCCTTACATGGATTATACATGGGGCTGACTAGAAAAGACTTATTTCAGCAATTGGACTTCAGAAGTAGCAGCAATGAAAACTGCAATTATATACAGCCTTTCAGAGGAAAATGGGCCAGCAAGGCCAGCCCATGGCAGCGGGGATGAGCTGGAAGAGCTGAGAATAGGCAGAACCAAAAGCGGTTTAGCAAATGTGAAGGTATTTTTCACACCAAACTTTTAAAACTGTCTTGTTTTAAAAAAAAATCTCTGTTTCCACTTACAGATAACTGAAGAACTGTTCAGCTCTCAATTTATTCTGCTAAGTGATTAATTCAGTGATGTTAAGTTTGTATTTTTCATTATCCAAGTTCAGAACTACTGTTAACCTCTTACATTTTGAATTAAAAAACAAGACCCAAACCAGAAAATAATCAGTATTTGTCATGAATTTCTGAAGTCTTTCTATCATTGCAATAAATTCCAGAAAATGTATTCCTTCTTGCTTAAAATTATGGAATAAAACTTTAACTCTAGATGAACTATCAGGTCCAATGCAAAGTGCATTGATTTAACAATCAAATTTCAATGGCTTTGGTCCCAGTCACTAATTGATAATTTGTACTGATCTACAGAAATGGCACTTCTAAAGCCTCTCATTTGGTGAAGTGTCAGATAGTACAGCTTTCAACTTATAACAGTTTTCTTTTCAGTTGAACTTAATGCTTGAATTTAGAAGGGCTTCTCCAAATAAACATGTTGAATTTTGGGAATGGGGTCTTATTCCATTCAGGTGTGTCAAGGGTGAATTATAGCTGCTAAGTAGTTCAATGAACTGTAGAAAAACTGTGCTGATTAGGAAGCTCAAAGGGTGTGCCTCTTTAAGTTTTAGAATGAAAATAGAACAGGTGGAGTCTGACCAGCTGGATGCTAGCTCCAAGATGCTTCACTGACAACACCATAAAGTAATTAATTAGTGTTCTTATGGTCACATTTCCTCACCAACCATTATGACATCCTTTGATGGTGTGTAAACAGTTCTTCCCCCATCTGACAGATGAGGTAACTAGGAAAAGAAGGGAATGTACCTTGCCCAAGGTCTCCAGGGAGACTGCATTAGACCTACGATTAGAGTGCAAGTGCTTTTGTCTGTCCTGTATTCAGACAGCTGAACCAGGTCTTCCTTTAATTGGAAACTTAAAATCCAGCCATCTATAAATCACATTTTACCTCCTCTATATTCTGTGTTGTTTCTCCAATCACTTAGGTCTATTTCAGCTGTGCCTGCAATGACCAGTTCTAGTTCTCTTGCATCAAAAACAGATACCAGCCTGGCATCCACCACCTATGGAATAAAAAGAGTATAAAGCATGGCTTAAGAACCTAGAGAAATATCATCTATAATTAAGCCTCATCAGAAAAGGTGGGTGTAGAGTTTTGGGAATAATACGGGTGTACCCTGTGTAGGCACTTGAAAAACTGGAACACTCTCTACAAATGTAAGGTTTTTGTTTTCTTTTCTTTTTTTTTAGTATAAGGTTGATGAGATTTGCCTCAATAGAATTTTTGTTTTAGAATTGACCACTGATTAATCTAGTTGTTTTTTTTTTCTCTTTTGAAAAAGACCTCGTGTTCCTACCAAAAAAGTCACATGTAACACATGTAACAACTCATCTCGCCCTCAGATATAATCATTTCATACATCAAGCATGAGATTTGATTACCCATATCTAAGCATGAGTAAGACGCATGCCTGGGATGTTATTAGTGGTCATTAAATCATCAAATGCTACTTGAATTCAGGTCATGATATTTATTACTATTTCAGTGATCTCTTGTAACAAGTACATTAAGCTTTTCTTGGTGCTCTTGAAACATATGGAAAAAAATTGGACTTTTTTTTTGGTTTTCTCCACCTCCCTCTAATATTGGACTTTTTAAATTAGAAGAGCAACAGTAAATACAGTAGAAGAGAAAATGGAAATAATCTACACGTGTCAAGTACAGGAAGATGGACCGGACTGTGGCATCACTGCTCTCAGGCTGCGAAACGCCACTGCCGCTGATGGCTTTACCTCATAGAAGCCGCGCACTAAGCTCTCTGTTTGCTGTACGACACCCCTCTCAATCCTCCACTTCACCATCCTCTCAATGTACTCCTTCTTGTTCTTCTCTGTGACCGGGATATTGGCACCCCCTGGCTTTAATTCTCGTTCGGTGATCTGAGATATAAAAACACAAGGAGTGGCCATAAAGCAATACTCTTGATGTTATTAGAAAACTGTCAACCAATGAGCTGCAATCAGCCAGCTACCTGTCCCAGCCCTGCCACAGGTGCATCCCACAAGCAGGTGGCGTGACCCCCCTACACGTGGAGCACTGCACACAGTGATGTTCAGCAAAAACCAGGCATTAAGCTGATGTTTGAAAGCTCTAGTGTTAAAAAAAATAATGCTGGTGCTAAAGCTAAGTTTTAAATCCTGACTAACGAAA